CACAAACTGATCCAGAAGCTGGTTCATCATCCCAAAATAATCCAGTTCCACAAATTGTTTCAGAATCAGATCAAGACTCTATAATTCAAAATAATCCCGATACAAACTTGGGAGATATTAGTGATATTATTCAGGAAGATGTTATTCTTCTTAATGAATTGGATTTATTGAATAAGGCAAAGAGCAAAAATTTTGTTTCAGAAAAATATATAAAAGGAGGATTTGCCATTCAATATCCAATACCATCAGGAGATATTATCTTTGAGGAAGTCGAAGTTGGAGATCCAGATAGACTACACCCAAGTTTATCTTCATTAACCAAATGGCAAGCAATTGTCCCATCATATGAAAACCCAGCATATGAATTTAATGTACCTATAGGTGATCTCAAAAAATATGCAGAAACTCCATACATGCCTCACCTTATAGCCTCAGCTCGAGAACAAATTACAAATGTACTTAAAGCTGAACTCCGAAGAAAAGACCAGAGAAAATCATCAATAGTGGTATATTGTAATTATATGAAAATGGAAAAGAAAGATAAAGTGGGATTATAAAGTAGAGATTCCATTTTATATCCAAAGATATCACCCTGGAAAGATGCGAGCTATTCTTTCAGAACAAGATATAGATGAGTATATAACATTATCAGCTGGAGAAATAGACGCAAAAATCGAAGAATTTTTAAGTAATGGATCTGAATTGACATTAGTTCGAATAGAAATGATATATATTAATGTTTATGCATATAGAAGAGCTATTGGAGGATCATACAAATCAACACCCAAAAAACTTGCCAATACCAAATGTACTATTAATCCAGACAACTCTCAAATAGGAGATGACAAGTGTTTACAATATGCTTTAGGTGTATACTTTGCAAGCATTGGAGGTATGACCAAAAATTTACAACGTCTTTCCTACTTTATACCATATCTGAATATAGTTAATTTGGACGGTATTCCAATGCCAACACCTATTTGCCCTAGAACCTTTCAAAAGATCGAAATCCAAAATCCAGAAATCTCAATCAATGTATGGGAATGGAAAGAAGAAACTGCTACTCCAAAACCTGTAATTGCCAGTAAAAATTTCTTTATACCTAACTCATGCCAAGTTGTAGGATGTAGCCATCCAAGATCGAATGAGTGCATGACAAAAAGACCACATATCATTCATCTTATGACTCTTACTGATATTAATAAATCTGAAGATACCGGTAAATATGGTTAAAGGAATCATTTTCTATGAATCAAAAATCTGAATGGATTAGTATTCAAAGATACAAAACATAATGAAAAAAAGTATCTCTGCAATCGATGCTTCTGAAGTTTTCCATCAGAAAATTTAAAGAATTATCATCAAGATCATTGCTATGGATTGGGAGAAACTCCACAAAAAGTAGACATGCCCACTAAGGATATAAATGATATCGAAAAATTCAAACACTATATAAGGATGATATATGCTTCTTGTATAATATATATAGATTTTGAATCAAAAAATAAAAAATATGATGAGTCATATGGTGGAAGCATGTCTAAACTTGGAGAACAGATACCTAGTAACTTTTGTTATTTAGTTCATTGGATTGATACTGGAGAGGTTTGGGGTCCATTTACATATCGAGGACCAAATGCCACCCAAGTATTTGTTCGAAGAATGGATAAAGAATTAGTTCGAATTAATGAAGTCTTAGCAATTAATAAT